TACTCCAGTAACACTATGTGCAGTGTGCCAGTGTCAGTGTATGCACTACTCCAGTAACACTATGTGCAGTGTGCCAGTGTCAGTGTATGCACTACGTCAGTAACACTATGTGTGGTGTGCCAGTGTCAGTACTACTCCAGTAACACTATGTGCAGCGTGCCAGTGTCAGTGTAGCCCTGTAATCCTAACCAGAGATGAATAAAGTGATGTTATAATCCTAACCAGGGTTTCCACTCTGCAGGCAGTGGGGCCACAATGCCCTCTCTGGCCAGCCACATCAGCTCAGGCTCCTTCTCTGGGTCTATCCCGATCTCTCGTGCGTACTCCTGGATCTCTGACAGAAGGGGCGAAAGAGAGAGAGAGGTTTACTCAGCCCCCACACTGACAGTCGCTTTGCTAAGTAGCCATGCAGTTTTTCTGTACGATGGTGGTTTGTTAAAAAACAGATTAATTTATGGTTACGCTTCTGTATAACACTTATACCCTAACAATGGTCCTCCTGTACATACAGTATAACATGAATTAAAACAACAAAACGCTACTTTGCACCAGCAGAGTTTTGTGTCAAATCCTAGCCTTCATTGCGCAGCTTGACAGAAGGTTTTGTGCTCAGTAGTTTAACCACAGGAAAGGAATCCATTATAGTAACTGCTCTCCACATGCTTGATCCCATATACTATTTGAGTGTTAAGGCACTTAATTTGACACGTGTGTAACTGATAAATGAATGTATGTAACTTTTAGGACAGTGGGAGGTTCAGACAAGATGGTAGTTCTTGTCTGAACTACATTACCCAGGAGGCAATGGGGAATGATCTGACGTCCCGTCACCTGACCATCTGAAGGGACACAAGTGGTCAGGTGGCAGTTAAAGAGCAGGAAGCAGAGGCTTCCAGTGGTCAGTCTGCATCTGATATTTTGGAAATGACATCAGTTTTCCCATTATCTACCGTTATGCGCCACACCAGACAGAAGAAGGAAGCAAGTGGATGGCTGAGACTTTGAGGAAATTTAAGTTTTGAGGAAGAGATTTGGTTTTGGCGCCAGTAAGCACCGGTTATATTCCAAAAAAGAGATTTACATGAAGAAGCTGGCACTCAAAGAGAGCCAGGGTTTTATTTTCTCTACGTTTCCCTGCACTGTGAATTAAAAGCAACGATTCTTACTCGACAGCTGCGTCTGCTGTCCGAGACCCACCCCTTTCGAAGCAACCTGTGACAGCACCTAGGCCCCACCAGCGTCCGCCAACTCTAAAATGACTTTCACTGCAAGAGGGTCTCTCCCTCTCTTCTCCCGGTACCTTGCTCAGTGGGGATGTAGTTCTCATCGTAGTCCTCCTCCAGGATGAGCTGGTCCCCAATCCGGAGGGTCGCAGCGCTCATGGTGGCTCTGAGGAAGAGACGGAGACCGATTTCCAAGATTCTAGGTACACCAGAAATAAAATGGACTTTCTCACTTCTATGCAGAAGTCAGAAAAGAGAAAGGTGTGATAAATACATGGAAACAGATGTTTTCATTGTCCCAGTGAAATCCCCATACGCATACGCGCAGGCTGCCCCTGCGCTCTGACCCCTGGCTTCTCTCCCTGTCTGTGTGTCTCATGGAGAGCAAGCTGGGGTCTGAGAAAAGACAAATTCCTCATGCAATAAATTGTATAGGGCTAATAAAGTGATCTTATCTTATAAAGGTATCTGGTCTATTCAGAAAGCCATGAACAGGACACCTCACTTTACAAGGGCCAGTTGTGACAACTGTCAACACTGAGCAATGTACTGTGTCCATCTGTATGATCACCACAGTGCTGTACGTTATCCATCTGTATGAGCAACAGCATCCGGTACTGCGGTGCACATTCAGATGGACAAGGTGCAGCAGAGCTCATACAGAAGGAACCATTTTCTACACAATGAGCACCTGCATGCAAGTCTGCTTCTTGTATTTCCACATACATATACAGACCTACACTCTGGAGGCCAAACTGAGGGGATTCTCAGGCAGGTCGTGTTTTAGAATAAGCATTCACACCGGATTGATGGAGTACAGTATTCACAGGAAAGTGAACTGAACAGGCCACCAAGCAGGGCTGGAATGGGATTGGGAAGGAAGACGAATGGTTCTGCATGAAGATAAGAAAAAAAAAAACACGACTCATCCCACAGGATGCACGGATCCAGGAGGGTCGGTGTAAATGGTGCAGAGTCCACATATACAGACGCTCAGAAGGCACACAAAATGGGGAAACTTTGCAGGGAGGCGCAGGACACAGGGTGATTTCACACGGAGACGGGACTGGCGAGGCTGAGCAGATCTATTCTGTGCGGGGCCCTGATGCTGCGCTTCAGTCACCCGCTGTCCTGAAACCCCGTCGGGCGCTGAGGGGCTGAATGGCCTTTTCCAGACTATAGCATTTCTGTTCTTATACAGGTGGCGGGAAAACAACAGCTTTAATGGGAAACCAGAAACCAGGGCCACGCCGGGGGGGGGGACTCCAAGTCTTTTCAAAAAGCCCAGGTCCTGCCGCGTCTACACTCTCATTACTACACGGCGGAGGCGAACGCGCAAACAAAACTTTTTGAACCGAAATTGAAAGGAAAAGTTCCGTGATCTGCTTACCTGTCAAACGCCTGTTTGTCTTTTCTCCAAGGGGTCACGCAGTCCAGAGGTCTCCTCCAGTTATGTTTGCGTTCTTCATCTTACGGTAATAAATGTCAACCGGACAGCGAGCTGTCTTACTACATCAACGGAATTTGGCAGCGGCTTCCAGGGACGCGCGACATCTTCCGGTTTTCACCCCTCCTTAGCAACCACCAACCGCCCCGCCTCCCATATGAGCGATTGGCCAGAAAGGGCAGCGGGCCGTTTTCATTGGAGAACAGAGAAGTCGGTCAAGGTCACAAAACCGCGCTGTGCCACGGGAAATGTAGTGTTATTATATTCGTCTGGATTTGTCATAATCGGTTTAAAAAATCATGTGATTCTTCTGCTCAAGTAACTTTCTTCTGCTGGTGAGGCCTCAGTTCTTTATCTAGCAAAGCTATCCTGTAATATTTATCGTCTCTGAATCCTATTATATTCTAAACGATTGAAAACAATCCTAATAATTTAAAATTGTTGTAAACTGAAAATTGTGGGGTTGTAAATGTTTAAATTGTTTCGCTATATGGACACATTTTATTGTGTTTTGTTTAATTAAATACATAAATATTTAATTATTATTATTTAACTTGCCAGAAATAGCCTTTTCAAATTTTCATTGCCCTGATAATTTCTCTTGCTCAGTGGGGATGTAGTTCTCATCGTAGTCCTCCTCCAGGATTAAATAATAAAATAATAAAATTATTATTCCAAGAGCAACAAAGTATTTTAAAATAATTCAACACGTGGGATTTGTTGTCTGGCAGTAAAACTAAGGCTGCTGCTGGAAGAGGTGTTAGTGGTGCCAGTAGGGTGCGCTCACCCTGCGGTCTGTGTGGGTCCTAATGCCCCAGTATAGTGACGGGGACACTACACTGTAAAAATCCTTCGGATGAGATGTAAAACCGAGGTCCTGATGCTCTGTGGGCATTAAAAATCGAAGGGCATTTTTCGAAAAGAGCAGGGGTGTTTCCCCAGTGTCCTGGCCAAATTTCCCCCTGGCCTTTCCCAGTCATGGCCTCCTAATAATCCCCCTCTCTGAACTGGCTTCGTCACTCTGCTCTCCTCCCCACGGGGACAACAACGTTTCGGCTGCGGAGCCTTCTAGTACAATTTCGGTGTCACCCGAAGAAGGCTCCGCAGCCGAAACGTTGTGTTTCTTTTCTTCTCTTTTCAGCCTGGAATAAACCTGTACTTGTTCCTTTGGAAGAGTACGACGGCAATACCCTTTGCCCTCAGCAGGGTGCGCTGCAACGCCAGGAGAAGGACGCATATCGCGCTGGTGGACGTGGCCCGGACAGGGGGGCGAGGAAAGCGGGGCTGAATCGCTGCTTGAAGACCCGTTTCTCGTGTGGGAGGTGGAAGAGTGGTCACGTAGTGGCCCTTATTCGTTTACTGTGTTGACCGGTTCCGGCGAGTTTTGTAGTGAAGAAAACGAGGCGAAAATACCTCTGGCTTTTAATCAATCCGAACTGAAAGCTCACAGCGTCGTTAGTTAGGTTAAGGCTGATAAACCCCCAGAAATCAGGGAAGAGACTGACCGGGGTCCGCACACTCACTCATCCTCACGGACCAAATCATGTTTAGCACAGTTTGGAAACCTGACCATGAAGAAAACCTCTTACACGAGTCGAAGAAAGGATGAGATTTCCACGGAAAAGAGCTTCCTTTGCGGGTTGTGCTGTTTTTAAACACGTGACAATCCCACGTTTACCGTTCATTTTTACCACCTGGTTTAAAAATAAATTCTAATGACATTCAATCTCCTGTCCCCTGATAGTGCACGAAATAGGAATCAACAGATCTATCTGTATCTCGCTAAAAATCACCGCCTATATGTCTGGTCTATACCGCACTCTGCCTGTACACAGGAGTCCCCTGTGTATATGTACACTGTCCTGTATATGTGTATATATGTGAGACTTTGTGTGGCACAGTGTGGTACACTGTGAGGCAGTGTGTGATAATGTGAGACAGTGTGGGAGAGTGTGAGA